AGTTTCAGAAAAGTGGAATAATACAATAGTGATTTTTACAGAAATACTGATTTGATGGTATGCACTGGAAGTTGGAAAGTCAGTGAAAGGATTCAGAATGAGGTGATGAAGGTGGGCATTAGGAGGAGTTATTGACTATAGGAGATAAAATGCCAGAAGACATTTTGGTGGAAAATACTGAATTTCCTTTCATATACTTAAGGACAGGCAGTCAAAGTTAAATATATTACAAAATACCCACAACAAACACAAGAACAACAATAACATCAATAATAATGATCACAAGAATAAAATAATTTTCAACAGGTTCCTCAGATGTTTCCTTTCATCATTCTGGACACTCCATGGGAGCTTAGCAGCAGTTTGTGTTGCCTAGAATAATTATAGGAAAGAAGTATTAGTATTCTAATGAAAAATAATCAATCAATCATTACAAACCATAAATGGGCATCCTACCTCCTGCAAGGCAGAGGAAGCAATGCCTGCATTCTGCAGCAGCATTTTTATCCTCCTTTACTCATTATTTCAAACCAATTTTGATTTATTGTGATTAAGGACCAAAGAGACATTTAGTTTGAAATGCTACGGGCATTCTGCAGGGGACCATTCGGGGTGTGTGGGCTGGAGCAAAAGAGTCAGACAAGGTTTCAAGGAAAATGAAATTTGAACTGGGTTTAAAGGACAGGTAGAATTTGGATATATAGAAAAAAAGCATAGAGAAGGAAAAAAAAAGGTATTATACACAAAGATTTCAATTAGAACTTCTTTTGTATCAGAAGGTGTCAGCACATTTTCACAGTTTATAACACAAATAATTTGCTAAATGGCTGTGAAAGCAAATCCAGAGGAAAATGACACTTTTATGTATTTATTCATTCCTTACCTTCTTTTAGTGGGGTTTTGAGGACAAAATTTTCTTTACTTTCATGCTGAAAGGCCTTTGAAGGATCAAAGTGTTTGATGCCCAGAACTTTATTCAATTCTTCCTGAAGTCTTGCCTCACTTTGTTTCCTTTTAGTAAGCTGAGAGCGGAGTTTCGACACCTCCTATGTGAGAAAAATATAGATAATGAACAATTATTAAATAGCATGTTCATGAAATGTGTTACTGATATTGCAGGCAAATTCTGATGTTGCTTATGTATCAAATATAATGGCAAAAATTACTATTAGATACAGGAGTTTTGACTGAATTTACAAAATGACTTTTTTTTTTTAATTTTTTGAGACGGAGCCTCAAGCTGTCCCCCTGGGTAGAGTGCAATGGCATCACAGCTCA